CGGCTAGGGGTTACGCCCCCCCCCCCTTTCTAACAATCCTGGATCCGGCCCTGGTTCTGTTAAATGAATCCTGAATATAAGACCATTCTGATTCTGTCATACTAGACTCTTCATATTATCATTAAAAATGTTACTGCATGTATCCGTCATACTTGCAATTAAATTTATCATTTATTATCATTAGTATTATTATTGTAATTCTTTTATTATTTTTTTTTTTCTGGAAATAGTGTTATTTTCATCATCGTTTTTACCACGTGGATAATCATCATTGTAGTTTCAGTGTAGATTATTATCATGTCCTTCTTCATTCTCATAGTCATCTCTCTGTCTATGGTTTTTATTTCCGTCCTTCTTGTCTTCGTATTTCTATATCTGTTCATTTAGTAATATTTTGGTATTATGTTATTAGGTAGATTTTTTCCCCATTCGCTTGTAGTATGTATGTGTACATTCTTGCATTACAGAAGTCTGAATAATTCGCTCTTCTCTTTCTCTCTTTCTCTCTTCTGTAAAGATTTCCTTACAGGGAATACGACAGATTAGATACATTACATGTACACGAAATGATAGTTGGAGCTTAAGTTTATTCTAATAGTGATTGAATTTAAAGTAAAAAAAAAAAAAAACATGTTTTTCAAAATATAAACCGCAAACAACTGTAAAGCAAATGAATAAAACACACGCACAATAGACCAGGAATTTTTTTTACACATCATCAGGGAAAGACGTGGGATATAGGTAAGAAGAGTCCCAGTCAGCAATAGAAGGGATAATTGATAGAGGCTACGTGTCTTCGGCACTCGCACTCGTCTCGGCTTAGGGTTACGCCCCCCCCCCTTTCTAACAATCCTGGATCCGGCCCTGGTTCTGTTAAATGAATCTTGAATATAACGGCAGACCATTCTGATTCTATCATACTAGACTCTTCATATTATCATTAAAAATGTTACTGCATGTATCCGTCATATTTGCAATTAAATTTATCATTTATTATCATTTGTATTATTATTGTAATTCTTTTTATTATTTTTTTTCCTGGAAGTAATGTTATTTTCATCATCGTTTTTACCACGTGGATAATCATCATTGTAGTTTTAGTGTAGATTATTAGCATGTCCTTCTTCATTCTTATAGTCATCTCTCTGTCTATGGTTTTTATTTCCGTCCTTCTTGTCTTCGTATTTCTATATCTGTTCATTTAGTAATATTTTGGTATTATGTTATAAGGTAGATTTTTTCCCCAGTCGCTTGTAGTATGTATGTGTACATTCTTGCATTACAGAAGTCTGAATAATTCGCTCTCTTCTCTTTCTCTCTTTCTCTCTTCTGTAAAGATTTCCTTACAGGGAATACGACAGATTAGATACATTACATGTACACGAAATGATAGTTGGAGCTTAAGTTTATTCTAATAGTGATTGAATTTAAAGTTAAAAAAAAACATATTTTTCAAAATATAAACCGCAAACAACTGTAAAGCAATGAATAAAACACACACACACACACACACACACACACACACACACACACACACACACACACACACACACACACACACACACACACACACACATGTACACGCAAAAAAAAAGCGCACGTGAAAGTAAACAACCAAACGAAAAAATAATAAAATCGTAAAGAAATACATAAAAAAATATAAATATCTACCAATAAGCTTCACCTCTATACCGAGCTTCCCACTCCGAACAATGCAAAAGCAGAATATTAGGAAGAAATCAAAGAAGATGAGTTAGAAGGTACACACTGGGACGTAAAACAGACATCCCTGTCGAACCACTACACTACAGAGACTTGTAATAATCATTCAGTTTGATTATATCTAAGTTTCGTTTTTTCAGGGATATATACAAGTGAAACGTATCATGTGGCTAAAGATACTTGTATGCTTGTGTGGGTGTGTGTATTTCCCTACAATATTCTCTGAAAACAGCGTTCATAATTTCATCCATTTAAACAAGTAACTTCTTACAGGGAGTAATTTATAATGACTGTAACATTATGGTGTATATATATAAAACAAGTGTAAGAAAAAACAAACATTTAATATATACAATTTATCTCAAGTACAATAAGATGAAACTAAAAAAAACAACTGAAAATAGGAGAGGAAAATGTCTTATGAGGTTCTTTACGTAGGTCTATTATATCACCAAACTACATTGTCTGATTTGTTTTCATTAGTTTTGTTTATTATATTTCTATTTTTTTTTAAGTTTTCACTCACATTGTAACATTCACCGTGACATAGGCGTTACCAATTGACGGTTAAATAATTGATAGACAATAATAAGGATGATAATAAACTTCATTGACGTGACAGTTTCAGTTAAATCTCTGGCTTTAAAATTACTATCTACCTTATACTATTACGATCTATCTTATGAAATATCCGTGCTTTTGTGTGTATTTTTAGAACAAAGATTTTTTGTCGAATTTAAAGGAAAGAATCTCTCTCTCTCTCATTCATTTATTATCATTATCATTAGTATCATTAAGATTATTATCATCATAATTATAATAATGATAATAATGATGACGATAATAATGATAACAATAATCATGATTTTACTATCTTTATTATCATTATTATCACCATTACTATTATTGTCAACATCATCAGTGTTATAATTGTTTATCATTATTGTTGTTATCATTGTTACTTCTAACACCATTATTATTATATGACCTGTTTTCTACCTTACATTCACGGGGTATAGTTAAGGCAAACGGATTTATCATATTTCCTGGAACAATGAATAAGTCCTGAATTAATTACCAAAACATGATCTTGAGAAATAAGTAATGTGTCTAAAAGTATCAGATCGGGTTTACAATACTGGGCATGAGATGTGTAACACCAATAACAAAATAAGTTTAATTTAGAAGTTAAGGAGAGAGAAAAAAACAACGTTTATACACAGTATAAAAAGATTTAAATAATATTGTTCTTCTGAAATTTGTCTTGGCTGCCCTATTGCACAAAGACTGAGTCATGTCAGTTTGGTGAGTAATATTTCAAGATAATGGGTCATAATATCAACAGTCTATCCCCCGAATTTTGAATGATATGTTAAAGAACTTTTTTTTACGAATCTAAACGAACGAATGGTATTACACGTTCGTATAACTCCTTAACCTATAATCCATTTACTAACAATACTTTGGCTCGACTTTGTTCGTCCACACAAATCATAAAGTTGAACTGAGGCATGAGTTGACCTTCAATTTCGGTCATATAAAAAACTCCATTATATAAATAAATAAAGAAGCCAGGTAGAAATATAATTATTCTAATTGTAAACAGAAGACCACATAACCGATTTCATTACAGAGTTAACTGAGATAATATCCGTTATAGAGAAAAGTAGCTCTCCGGATGGTTTCAAACTCGACCTTCAAACTGAAACATATAGACCGGTGTCCAATACTCTTTAATAGCCGTTACTTATTACTACACTATCATTCAGCCTACCCGTGTTAGATCTACACTCCTGGATTAAATATTTGATACCATTGTGTCAGGTTGCTGACCATTACCCGATATTTTCATTCTTCGGTAATACTACTATGACTAAAGTAATTGACTATAATTCTACACTCATTAGGTCCACATAAAAAAACACTCTTGTAAATCCTGTAATTTTATTGATTCCATTTGTTATTTTTCTTTTGTGAAGTGCCAATAAAGATGTCTGTAATTTGCCTTTGTTGAATCTCATATGGTTATTGAAATGGTACTAAAGAAGCAACATAATGTACGTAGAAACAAATCCACACTTAGAGTAATTAAACAATGACGTTATTGCGAAAAACTGTTTCAAGAAAACAAAAAACGTAATTTAGGAAACTTTAGAATTATGTTAAGATTAAATTATTTATTATAATACGTCTCGATGTCTTGATTTACGTCAAGACCACCTAATCAGATAAAAGAGGAAATTGCACAGACTATGGCTCCTTGCATCCTGCTATATTGTCCCCGGTTTGGGAACCACTGGATTAGAGTACATATTCAAGTGGAGTATGTTACATTGGCTCCAGAAATCTCTAAGTGAAGATATCTAATCATTCGCAATTCAATAAACAATAAAAATATAGAACAACCGCTGCCCAGAACAACAACCAAAACCCTCATAGTATACTGTATGTTGGCTGTACTCGACCCCTGCCTACTGACATTTTCAAGACTGTCGAGTCCATAGCTGAAGTCAACGTATCCGTGACTTTGTGAAAGGGAAGTGTGTGGAGAGGATCGTATGAGGACCAAGAGGTATGTAAGAATCAATCACGCCAGAAAGTTGTCACATAATAAAACTAGCATTTTAGCAAAAAAATCAAGAGAACTTGTTTTACGAAATGGGGTAAATACGATTCAGGAAGTAGGGAGAGGATATCCCACTTCAATTGTTTATTTAGATCCAGTATTTTGGTTTAATTCCCAACACCTGTATACGTATGAACACATATGCCGTGTATACAAGTATGTAGTGTATGTTGTATATTATAAGTAAAGGCTGGGCAAAAGTTCCTCAAGATTGCATAATTATTCAGTGAATGAGCTCTAGATTAATACATATTATCTTTCATCATATAAGTTTTTAATTGTTAATATTAATTCACCTGTTAATGTCTCATTTAATGCAACCAAACAGTGCAAGAATATACCTTTATTATTCGGATTTTCTTCCTATGTTGAGCTACTTACGCTTGGATTAACTGGGTTTTGCCTTATGGTGTTTGAAGTTTCCATTCTTGATAAGGTAATACAACCAACAAAATATTCCAGCTGTCACAAATATTCATGATTATGAAATTGTTTTACACTTATCAGGATCTCACATTTACACGGGTATTATTTTAAATCCCTTCTAACAGTTTCTTTCAATAAAGCCTGTTAATCCACTAAGGTATTTGGAGTTAATAAAACCTTCTTTCACAATCTGCTGTCAATATAAAGGGAGAAATAAAGAGAGACAAAAGAACCAACTTTTTTATTCAATTAATACATTGGCTAATATTTACTACGGATACATGTATGCTTAGGAGTTTATTTCAGAATAGTTAATGTTATAATTTTGAAGTAAAAATCACCACATCAATTAACTGTTATAGAAAATTAACCACTCAGTAGAGTCATTAAGAGATACTATAACTACATGCATGCTTAGGAGTTTATTTCAGAAAAGTTAATGTTATAATAATAAAGTAAAAATCATCACCTCGTCAATTAACTGTTATAAAGTATTAATTACTCAATAAAGTGATTGAGAGCCAGTGCCAAGTGTGTGAACCTTTGTTGATAACAAAATAATTAACTAGGTCACTTTCTTTATAACGTGTACACAGAGACACCATATAAGCCAGTGTAAATAACAAAAAAATCGAAAAAACAGGCTTGAGAAATGGTATATTTGTGCCTGAATTTGCCATGTGGATTAATATAGGATGTGCATTAGGGTAGGGTAGGTGTAGGAAAGGACAGTGAGAAGGATCAGTGGAGAACTATATAGAAGAGAAGGGAAAAGGAACGTAGTAAAAGTAAGGGAAGAGGAAAATCGAAAGAACGCGAAGGTAGAGGAAAAGCGAAAGAGAGCGAAGGTAGAGGAATAGCGGGATGAAGTAAAAGGCAAGAGAGGTACACAGGGTGAGGTCGAGAGCCTCAGCATCAACCGCGGAGGGCCCTGTACATAGCCGTCACGAGCGGGTTCTTCCCTTCGCCACCGAGGTTCTTGAAGTCGTCCGTAGTGACGTCCCACATCATCACGCCGCCGAGGCCCTTGTTCGCCGCATACCGGGCCTGGAGGACGGAAGAAAGATGAGGTCAAGTGGGACCTTAGTCCCCGTTTCTCTTTTCGTTTCAATAAGTCTTTCATTTAGACGTGTAGAAGATGTTCGGATAAATTAAATTTAACAGCACTGAATATCAAAAGAATTATAAGCAATTACAAGGCGCATACAGGATCAGCGGGGATATAAACTGTATGGTGGCCTTTTTCCATGGGGCATATTCTTCTAAGAAACAGGATACAGTTCCCTTACGTTCAAACGATCATTCGCATTGCAAAAGAACATCCAAGACCACTTTAGACTTTACCTTCTGAGTCACAGATTGGACATCGTCATACCCGACCCACTGGTCTCCCTTCGTCAGGTAAGGTCCTGCTTGAGTCCTCCCCTTCGTCCATCCTTCCTGTGGGTGAGGGGTAGGGTTCTTTTAGTATAGGAATGAAAGATTACCTTTATATGGGGACAACTAAAGGGGAAAGCGTGATGGTGTGCACATGATCACACAAATATACATGAATGGGGGATGTATAATGGCGAGGTCTCAAAAGCGAACAACATTTAATGATTTGTTATTTTTATAGAGACATTAAGAACTCAAATTATATGAAATGCTGAAATTAAAACGATGACTGCCTTTATTGACTTCACAGACACACATCACGGTAGAGAAACGAATGGCTAAAGCGACTTCCACTTTATCATCACTTAACAGTACCTTCTCTGCGAGACAGCACTCGAAGAAAGGCAGGTTTCCACTCTCTTGGATGTATCGTCCTTGGCGTCCTGCTCCTGCCGCGGCCGCACCCGGAGAGCTGTTAGACCCAGCCAGTGTCCATGATCTTCCGTAAGATGGCACACCCAGTATCAGCTGTTGATTGTTGCTAAAATGAGTGTATATGGAAATGGAAATACACAAAATAAATGAATAAATAATTAAATGAATATATGAAAATGATTAATAGTTTGACACTCACAACGTCAACGTACATAGACACGACCGAGAGAGGCAAACTTATATTTTAGGGACCGCTTAGATCAGCACTTCCTGAGGTATATGTATCCTTAGGGTAAAATATCAAGAAAAGATATCGATTTTTTATTGTATTTTATGAACTCGTTGCTAAATATTCACAGTTGTCTGTTCTTTACTCTATTCATAATATCTATCTGTTATAATCTATTGATTTCATCCCCACGGAAGACAGGATATTCCAAATATACACTTATATACCATGCACTTCTCTCTTCGAGA